GGGGGGGGGCATGGGAAGGGCAATGGCAGGGAAGGCCTCTGACATGAAATTCCCAGCAACAGGATTTGCACATTTTATGACCGTTCAGATGGAAATGCAACGGAGCTGAATTATTACTCTTTAATCCTGCTTTCTCACTTTCCTCCCAGCAGCCTCCTCCCCTCGAGCTTAGGTAATACAGAAGCTTATAAACAAATCCCACGGCGTGAAAAATAGCAAAGGGGGGGGAAGAAAAAGGACCTGGGTTAGGGCTGTGATGGATAGACAGGTGGAAGGCAGGCACCAGAAGGGAGGATGAATGGTAAAAGCCTTTGATGGAAACACTAAAGAGCTATTGAAAATCCAAGGGGTGGGGGGAGGGAGGAGAAAGAATAGCAGGAGGAGGGAAAGCAAGAGAGCCGTGCCCCCCTTCCCCCCCGCCCTCTTTCTCAGGATGTTGAAAGTATTTGTCCTTCGTTACAAAATGATTGAACTGCCGCCAGGCCAGGCCACCCTTCCAGCCATTGCACTGGGAAACTGGCACTTCTGAAAGCCTCGTCGCCTCTCAAATTTTATAGCTTTCCCTTTTTTGTGGGAGTTTTGTGTTGTGCTACTTGCAGGATTGTTTTCAGATTTGCCGCGTATCAAAGAAACTGTATTTTGTTGCTCTGACAAACACAAAATCCAGGTAATGAAAGGAAGAATTAAAAAATAAAGGCCCATTTTTATCAGAATACCCAGCTGTCTGCCTTTTATTGAGTCAGAATTTCATGCATTTGTTATTCCCGATATTGCATTAATATTCTTTTGGTTTATCTCCAGCGCTTTTTGAAGGAGGAATTTCATCCTGTATATAAAGCTTCTACTTTATTGATGTCTCTGTGTGCACAAAAGCTGTGCCTGCTCTTCATAGTCAGAGTAGTGAGGATGATCCCGTCATATCATAATTAAAATGGTTTTTGCACCAGACGAATGCAGACAACAGTGGGAAAAGATAATCTTTCCCCTTTTCAGAATGGTCCCTGAAATTCTGCGATGTCTTTGTCCTGCGAGATCTACAGATGGGAAGAACTGTTGAAGATCTGCGTATGAGATTGTTATTGCTGCCAGGGGCTGTATTTATATCCTGTATTTATATGTGTATGTATTTGTATACCCAAGCCTGATGCTTGGGAAGGACTGAAGCCGCGTGTATTCTCAAGAATTAGATCTGGGCGTTTGTAGATGCATCCTCCATCCAGGCGCTTGTTAACCAGGGGAGGACCCAGGGCCGCGGGGTCTGCCCGATGCCGCCCATGTGCCGTCACTGTGAGCTTGAGGTGCCCGGGCCGGGTGGGGAGAGCAGGGTGCTGGCTATCCCCTGGGCAGGTACCCGCTTAGCTGGGCTCTGCGTGCTGGGCGGGTGGATGTCTTCCCTCCCATCGGCTGCATGGCCCTCAGCGCAGCCCCAAGGGCGTCCTCCGAGTAAACAGTGCAGACGGTCAGCTGTCCATTGCCTCCAAGATTAGATCCTGGGATTAGGGCTCTGACAGGCTAGCCATGCCATATAATTAAAATAGGAGAGCAGAGAGGCAATGTGCAACCCATATACAGCTGAATATTGGGGGGGCTGTGCTTGCTCACAAACCCACTGCAGCTGAAAGCAAATCTCTCCCCTAACGTAACTTTGCAATAGCACTTTCCACCTAAACATCTCCAGTGCCTGGTTACATTCATTAACGTTTGCAATGCCCCCCGAGAGAGATAGCACTGCCTTTATCCCCACCTTTGAAAGAAGAGAAAGGGTAAGTGATTTGCTCAAGGTTAGATGGGGAGTTGCTGGAGATGGAGCTTCAGTCTCCTGCCTTCAGAGGAATTCGCTGCAGTGACCAAAGCAAACAGCCCCCGCTGTTACAACGCCGGACCGTGGCGAGTCGTTCGCACTTTGCATCTGAGATGGTGCGTCTGGGAAGGTATCGCTGTCCTTGCGAACTAACTTTTAGTTCTTGAGCGTGGGTGAACACTTGTCATCGTGCCAGGATGACACAAAGTCTAGAAATTATGGTGGCAATTCAGGTCATGGTATAACGGGGAAAAAATGCTGCCTCAGAAGTGTCCCCGTCTAGTGTCACTGCTAGCGATTATTTAAGCTGCAGGACATGGCTGTGGCAAAGATCAAGTTGTAGCTGATATGAATCATGCCCTGAAATAACACTTTCCTTCTTACATTGTGAAAATTGCAGAGGTATGGGAAGTGAGGGAAAATGGGATTTCCCTGGAGGTTAAAGATTTTCCTTTAATCAGCTTTCATAATGTTAATTAAATGTTTGGAACAATGGCTCGGTCCCGGGATCCGCCCGCTCTTGCATAACTGTCTCACAATACCGTTTTCACTTTCAAGTTTATTTGCCAGCATGATTCAAAGCGAGAGCTGAGCAAGACTCCTGCACCAAGGAGCTACCTGGATTTTGGGAAAGCTCAACTCCCTCTCTTACCCTCCCTAGCGAGAAAAGACCCAAACTCTCCCCTCCTGAGAAAGAGCAGCCTAGAGGGATCGCAGCACTTTGTCTGTCATCGCTACCCCATCTGCAAATGGGGCTAATAAAAACTTACTGGTGTGTTGAGACTGGTACATATAAATATATACCCACCCATATGGAGAAATGGGTGTGTTTATAGAGATCAGTACATGGATAGATATATTCCGGGTAGGTATGATATATTACAGTGCCGCTTGTTCCCTGAAGTTTTCACTCTTTCTGTGGTGTAGTTGCTGTGAGCCATCGTTTCTGGTCCTTTGAGCAATGGGCTTAATATAACCGAGGCTTGTACCACACACACGGAGAGCTCAGGGGAAGAGAAAATTTGGGGAATGGTTCACAGGCAGGGGATGACATTGATTTCCCCAAGGACTGCACCCCATGGGAGGGAGAACTGCGCCGGGCGTATCTCCACAGCCCAGGAGGTCCTCTTGGTGCCGGACCGGGATGTCTGTCCCGGTGGTCTGCGATGTGGCTGTATGTCCCAGAGCTGGTCTGGCGATGTGCTCAGAGCACCCACAGCCACACGCGTGCACGCACACAGAGCCACAGCCTGGCCACCTTTGTTCTTCAAGGTACAAAAGACTCTTTTCAAAAATAAGTATTAAAACTTACAAATGTCAGACACCATGAGAAAAAAAAAATGAACCTATTATATTTTAGGTCAAAGTGTTATCTAGCCCAAGATTTTTAAATATGCGCAAAATGCAGTTTCTGCAGAAGGACCATTAATCAGCCGCTGGAAGAACTGCCTTTTTTAAGCTGCAAAGATGAAAACAAAAAGCTGTAAGTGCAGGGGTAGCTCCATTTTCCCATTGTACGGACGGCGGGTCTCGGTGCAGGAGGGCACCTACGTCCGTGCAGGCTCCTGCTTCCCTAGCAACATGTTAACATCTTTGCAAAAGCTGTTTAAATACGCCGAGCCGCTTGCCACGCCAGCTCTACATGGCAGTTTCCCTATTGACACACGCTTTTGTCTGCTTAGAGGAGGTGCTCTGTAAACATCAATGTTAGACCGTTTTTATGTTACTTATTTCTGATTCATTGGTTCTAAATTAGTAGCTCAGGGGCACATACCTTTCATACGGGCAGGGAAGGGATTGCCTCTCTTCTCCCCACCTTTGGAAACTTTGACCTGCTATGATCACAAACTGTAGGAAATCTCTGAGGCGAAGTCCCAGGCACCGCCAGCAGTAAAAGCCCGGAGTAAACAGATTAGGTGTGTTTGAAAGATGTTTTTGGACTATCTGGCTCAGTTTCCATATACCACAGGCAAGATTAATTTCAAGACTGATTTTGATAGCATGGAGGCTTCTTCCTTAATACAGGAATTGGCTGTGTAATTAATATATATATATATTTTTTTTTTTTCTGTTTGGCAGTGCAGGACATAGAGATCGAAACTTCCTCTCCACACCCCTTTGATTAGCCCAGGAGTGGCAGGGGGAATTTTTCGCTGTTGGTCATTGTGGGCAACCCTTTAGCCCCGCTTTTCCACCCTGTTCCCATTGCGAAGCCGCAGAGGCCGCACGAGCGAGCCCCCAGCCAGCTGGGAGCCGTCAGCTGCCTTCAAAGCCTCGCCAGCCCTTCTGTGATAAATCCATGGCGAGGTGTGTAACGCGCGTGGTATCAGCCCCGTATCCCACACAGGTCCTGTCCCAGCAGGGATGAGATTTTTTTCAAAATTGGAATACAAAAGGGAAAACCCGTTTCT